ATTTTAAAAACTAATGTAACATGTAATGCGATCGCACACGGAAGAACCACCACAATGCAAGTAGAATGTTTGGTCATAGCAAGTATGCAATTGTTATTTGACACTTTTCTTTTCTGTGCTACTATTCTGCACATGTTGATATGACACACTTGAATGTGTCATAATATTTTCTTAGCATTGATGTGGATCAACCTTTTTAGTGCCGCCGCAATTAAAATTATTAGGAAAAATAATTGTAAATTTTAGTAAAACATTTTGTATAAATAGTTTAAGAATTCATTAATAAAATTCAGATTTGAAACTGAGCTCGAACAGCTGAAACCAAATTCTCACTTTTAGTTGTATCTTCCTGCTTAATTTGAAAAAGAAGAAATAAATAATATCGGAAAAAATCTCATTTCTAAAAATAATCCTGTATTAATCCAGAACTAAAAAAATAATAAATTTGTATACCAAACAAATTTATTATTACACTCCTCCAAAAGTCTACAGGAAGAATCTAGTAATGTATACTGGGGAGAACTCAAAAAAACTGTAGGATAAACGGAATGATAGAAAATACAGACCACTTTCGAGCGAAAGCAATACTGCTCAGCAGCGTTTTTGGACATATCTCAAGCGTTTGATCGAGTATGGCACCAAGGACTTCTTTTCAAATGTAAAAAGCTTCTGCCACTTAACTTTATACGTTCATAAAATCATATCTTTTGAAAAGATTCTTTTATGTCAACAATGAGAATGAAATGTCTTCTCTACATGATATTAATTACCACAAGGCAGTGTATTCGGTCCAACCCTTTATTTGCTTTTCAAATACGATTTACCGAAGATGGTAGGAATTGTAACCGGTACATTTGGAGATGACACAGCTATCCTGGCAAGTGCAAACGATTCCTCTGTAGCCTCTTTCAAACTACAAGCTGGTCTTGGTCGTATGTCGAAATGGTTGCAGCGTTGGCGCATGAAAGCAAATGAAACAAAATCTACTCATGTTACATTCACAATGAGAAGAGACACCTGCCCGGAAATTAAACTAGTAACGTAATTTATCTTTATTACATCCTCTCAACTCGATTGTTGAAAAGTAAGTCTTTTTATTTATTTTATTGTACCAAATAATACTTAAAATATTTTCAACACGCTACTTTACAGTTTCTATAAATTTGGAGTAAACAAGTAGCAACAATTTAAAGGCGATGAGTTGATGTCATTAAACCGTTTCTCCAAATTTATAAAAGCAGTTTACAATAACTAAAGAAAGGCAGGGGCGGATTAATACGATTGTGGTATGTCACTCCTCCCACCTTTAAAACGTTCACGTCCTCGTGAATATAATATATATATAAAATTTTTCCATTAGTTTATATATAAGTAATATATTTACATTAAACTATAAATTATTTATAAATTATAAATTATTCTCATTAAACTATATGTAATATAGTATAGTACTACTTTTTAATATATTAAGTATTATGCTTAAAACATTATTTGAGTGAGAAAACATAATTTATGTCATATTTTAAATGCTTTTTAATATATCAAGCACTATGCTTAAAACATTATTTGAGCATCCTTCAAATCGTCACCTGACGTAAATTGGGTTCTCATGTTTTGTAGTAATTTTTGTGTTTAAATGCATTAATAAATGTAAGTGCTGTAAATGTAAATGTAAGTGTTCTGTCTCACCCCAGAATTTAGGTGATCTAACCTAAATTTAATTATTTGATAATTGTTCAAACAAGTTTTAATCGACAAATTAAAACTTTTTAAATATATAATTTTATATATTAATAGTTTTCTTAAACATAGCATTTATATGCATAGTGTATTTGTAATATGGTATTGATGTTTTTATATAATACTAGATAACCCGACAAACGTTGATTTGCCTTATAAATTATTTCTAGTTTCTAGATAAATTCTAGTGTAGACAAAAAGTAACTTACTCATTATAAGTGTGTAAGTATGTGGTATATGCATGAAATAGGCATGGAGTGCTATGAACGAAAAGGAAAATAAAAATAACAAACGCCAAACAATATTATTTTTAAGTTATTATAGTTTATTTATTAAATTATTAATTTAAAATCAATAGATTTGTATGATACCCAGTTCCCTGGCAACAACTGTTGTATCTTCAAATTTGAATTGTCTTGTAAATAATAATAATGATAATGGGCCAGTAACATTAACCAACAACAGTCGAAGATAAAAGCACTCAGTGTGTCTTGGATTAACTGTAAATAAGCGTT